ATTCAGATGTCTGTTTATTGGACTCCTCTCAGCAGCACTGTAAAAAAGTCAGCTTTTCTCAGAAGTGTTTGCAAGTAAGGTAATGAGATCATTGTCCTTTTTTCCGCAGTCTTAAAAATACTAATCCTGAATGTAGGTCAGTCAGATCTCTAAATTTTTGCTATACTGTACACTTTAATGTCAGCGCTATTCTAAAACCTATTATTCCAAGTGGAGCCGCCCCCACCCCCTCAACCTTCTCTCATTTTACTCTGTGAATGAAAGCCTTGCTGTGTCCGAACCAATCCTGTCCAAGAAGCAGCCCAAACCCACTGAGAAACATGCTGTTGTCCCCTTTGCACAAAGTAATCTGCAACAAAACTCTATGGAGAGAACACAAAACTGGTGCAGTAAAATACATGGTAGGACAAGTCATTATTGCTTCTTTTACTTTTCAGTGTTTGAGTAGATTTTGTAAGAAAAATGTACCGAAACTGCTTTGCAAATCCTATTTGAGTTTTGTTCAAATAGTCTTTATATCTCAGTGTTTTGGTTTTGGCAATTAAAGAATTTGGAAAGGCAAAGTTGATGAGTCACAACAATCAGGATTACAAACTGAGGAGACTGAGCAATCCCTATGGACACAAGGTTTACCATTTGGAGCAGTTATATGGGAGTAAACTTACAGGACCTTATCTTTTTATGCCACATTTGTTTTGCTTTGAACAGGATTTTCTCCTTCAAGCTGATTTTGTAATCACATCAAAGAAATGGATACTTAGGAAATAAACATTATAATGGAAACTACCCGGCACCTAAGAAAAGTCATGCTTTCATTGCTGCTTCTTATGGTAAGTTGGTTATCTGGTTAACATATTCTAATAATGGCTTCTGTTTAAAAGGATTAATCGATATCACAGCTTGAATTGCACTGGTGATCTCCAAACTACTCCACTATAGTAGCATTCTATATTTCTGTGTGAATACTGGAAAATACATCAAAAGTTGTTTATTTTTTATCTTGTAATTACACAGGTGTTTAATATGGTGGTCTCTCAGGAAAAAAATCCAGGGATTCTGAGGACTGAAAGAGAATTTTCTGGTATTGTTGACGAGCAACACAAGCCTCCCTCCTGGTATAATACATCTGTTGATGCAGCGCTGAAGCATGGGGCAGTCAGCTCTCTCGTTCATAGCAGATGGCAAACACAGATGGCTTTCTCACAAACTGTTTATTCATTTCAAGTAAAGGAAGACACCATGCCAGGTTCATCATCTCTTCTTCTGTTAGCAAACATGCTTGTTTTTTTTACAACAGTTAATTTGACTTTTTGATAAAATTCTCCAAGTATCTTGTTGTTTTTTTTCTTATTTTATCTTCAATTCACAACACTAATTGATTTTTCCCCCAGTAATTAGCCAGATGTTGTCTTTTCACTCCACTGTTATCAAACCAAAGAGTAATTAGCTCTGGTTCACTGTGTTGACAGGAACAGTTGTGGGAAAGGTGGAAGCACAGGTGGACAGTCCCACGCCTATCACATACACAGTTCAAGAGGACGATGGGGAGAACATGTTTCTCCTCAACCCTGTATCAGGGGAGTTCCTATTATCCCGCAGCCTGGACTTTGAAGCACAACGGTTCTACATTCTCACTGTAGAGGTGCAGCAGGTATCCAATGTCAGAGTCTACTTTAATGTGCTGGATGTCAATGACAACGCTCCTGTTTTCAGTCAGAACAACTTAACTGCAACACTGCTGGAAGACACACGTATCAGAACTTGCTTCCTGTCACTGAATGTGTCGGACAAAGACGATGGTAAGAGTTAAAAAATGTCCCGCAAAATGCAAATGAAACAAATAAAAACATAGAAGCTGCATGACTGTGTGCAGAGTACCTGCAGATTAAGAAAAAAAACTCTTACCGGTTGCTTCCCTTCTCCCTGAACATATAAAAGAAATAACATCATTGTTATAATCATTGTTGATGTTATACCAGCATTTTAGTTGAGGCATATTTTGACACTGAAAACTTGCAGAATTTATGCTCAGTTATTGATTAGTGAATCAATGAACCTTATTTTCATCTGTCCTGGATTTAAAGAAAGCTGTCTGAAGAATCAAACATTTTAAGTTGCTCTGGGGCCAAACATACCTGATTTTTACTGTTATTTATAGTACAAGAACTTTCCCAAGTTAATGTTAAAACCCAAAGAGAACCTTTTTATTTCTTGATCATGACAAGAAAACACATTTTGGGAGTCAGTCATTTGCAGCCTTCATTTGTGCATAATTTGTGCATGATAGTTAAAAATCAGAACTGCTATTTTATGAAATTCAATGCAATCTATATGATCAAAACTTTGATATAGTAGAAAGAGATTGAGATTAATCTGTTTTTGTCATCTTGATTTTAGGTGAAAATGGAGAAGTGGAACTGACAGTTGTCAGCGGTGATGAATTTGGCATGTTCTTCATACACTCAACAGGTAGTTTATGCCTGAACAAAGAGCTGGACAGAGAGAGACAATCTTCCTATAACTTGACTGTGACAGCAAAGGATTGTGCACAGCCAGCATCTTCACAGCTCACCAGCAGTGCTTGTGTAGTTGTGGAAGTGGAAGATATTAACGACAACGCTCCATTTTTTGTTTCTGTCCAACATGCTGATGTACCAGAGGACTCTGCATTGCATTCTGTTGTTATGCTTCTACATGCTGAGGATGAAGACGCAGGATCCAATGCAAAGATTTTGTATTATTTAATCAACTCTTCTGGTGGGACATTCAGCATTAACAACACAACTGGAGAGGTGTTCCTGGAGGAGATATTAGACAGAGAAAAGGAAGACACTCTTGATATTACAGTAACAGCCACTGATATGGGTTCACCTCGATTGGCCATGACAATGAATTTCACAGTGCATGTTGAGGATGTAAATGATAATGACCCTGTGTTTTCACACAGCAACTGCAGTTTGTTCATCAAAGAAGATATTCGGAGAGGGACAAGCCTGTTCCATTTTGAAGCTCAGGATCAAGACATTGGATCAAATGGGCAAGTCCGGTACAGCCTGACACCGGCTGGGCCTTTCGTGGTTGACGCAGTTCGAGGCGTGCTGTCACTCCGGGATCAACTTGACAGAGAAAGGGACTCAAATTACAGTTTGATTTTAACTGCTGCTGATCAAGGGGATGTACCCAGATCTGCGACTGTTACTATCAGCATTACAGTGTTGGACGTTAATGACTTTACACCCCAGTTTTCGCCAGAACTCCAGATCATTCATGTCAAAGAAAATGAAAACGATCCGTCTCAGCTAACACACCAGGTGCTGCTGGATCTCTTGGTTTATACTTTGTGCAATCATTTCTAGGCATGGGCCGAGATGAGATTTTCACTGCAAAGAAGTGATTCCAAAAAATATAAAACACCATCAAATTCCTCTGTGATTTGCATGAATTACAGGTGCAACTTTCTATCATTGAATTGTAGCTGCATGACAACATGCAGAAATATAATTTTCTACAGAGCAAATATGGATAAAAATATAAGGGAACATCACATTTTTAAGCTTGAACAAGAAATTTTATGGTACTGCCCCTTTACCTTTCACAGATTGTTAGGAAGACCTTCAGAAATGGAAACTGATTACCTGTACATATGAAAGTGTATTTAGCTTCTCCGTCAACTCAATTGCTGAGCTTGTAGAAGCTTTGCATGACCTAAACGGTCTTTGATTTTAAGTTTTCTATTTCAGTTTGAAAATGCAGTCTGTGCTATAAAGTCCAGAATTTTGTGTATTGATAAACACAAAATCAGACATACAGAGCCCACAATCAGACCTAAAGGGACACTGCCAGAACTAGAATGGATACTTACATACAGATAAACTGGTTCATGTCTAATCAACAGATCTTTTTACTTTTATTCAATTAATGTTTTCAACTCTTTTTTGACCAGGTTTCAGCTTTGGATGAAGACTTGGGGATCAACAGTCAGCTTATTTATTTTATGCAAAAAGAAGACAGTGATGGTCTGTTCTCTGTCACTCCCAATGGTGTGTTCAAGATCTTACACAGCTTGGACAAGGAAAGAGAACCATTTTACACTGTTATCATAACAGCTGTTGATTCAGGTAATTAATATTCAAGATCAACATAAATTAGATTCAGTATATAAATAACACCCTATCCAAAATTTTTCACACAGGTTTCACTTAATGAATGTCACTTTGTAAATTTGAAGGTTTTCCACCACTAACTGGCACTCTGACTATCCATATCACTGTGGATGACGTCAATGATAACCATCCTGAGTTTTCAGAAGAAGTCTACAACACCATAGTGTCTGAGGACAGTCCAATAGGCACAGTGTTTGCAATGATATCTGCATTTGATGCTGATGAGGGCATGAGTGGTGAAGTAAGGTGAAGAAACACATCCAAAAGAGATTTTATGTGGTAGACCAACACAAATTAGTTGCATAGTTGTAAGGTGAGGGAAAAACTACCTGATTTTAGATTAAGACAAAAAGAAAAAAGAATTTGAAAAGGTTGGTTTGCATTCATATTTACCCCTCTTTACTTTGATACCTCTTAATAAAATCCAGTCCAACCAATTGCCTTCAAATGGTTTCTATATTGCAAAATAGCTCCATTGATGATATGTATAATTTGATCTCCCATAAAACACACATAACACCATGGACTGGTTTTGATCTAAGTATCATGTCTTAGAATGGCTTATTAAATGTTCTGACCTAATTCCAACTGAGACCTATTGCAAGACTTAAAGGTGGATCTACAAAGTATTGAATGAAATGAACCAAATACATATCTATGCCGTGCATGATTTTCATTTGTGAAGAAATAAAAATCCACTTTTCAATGATCTGTCAAACCTAATAAAATATAATGAGGCTTGGAGTTGTAACTTGTGGAAAAAGTTTAACAGCATAATTGTTTAGGATGTCACTGTGTACTAAAAATGTTCCACTTTTTCTTCAAATTAGGTATTTCATGGAAAATCACGATGTGCCATTTGCTATTGAGGAAACATTTGGAGAACTGCTTACCACTGATTTCTTGGACAGAGAAACTGTAGCCTTTTACACTCTGACAGTGATTGGCATGGATATGCATCCCACACAACCGCTGTCAAGCTCTGTACTTGTTACTGTCCTGGTTGGTGATATCAATGATCACTGGCCTCAGTTTCTGGACAGTCCCTTTGTGGCTTATGTGCCCACAGAGTTTCCTCCAGGTAAGATGCTTTGCTTCATTATGACAGGTGACATTGTTGAGACTGAGAACAAAATTTACATATTCTGTTGGTATTTTTTTCACAGGCTCAGTTGTTTGTGCAGTGAGAGCAATCGATGGAGACACCGACATGAATGCAGAGCTGCATTACTCTCTGTATGGACAAAGTTCAGACCTGTTTTCGATTGATCCGAACAGCGGCACTGTATTCACTTCAAGCCTACTGCAGAGCACAGATGATTTTGTCATCAATGTGTATGTAGAAGATGCTGGAGAAAACCCAAAATTTGACATCACTACGATCAGTATCAGGTTTCACAACATTTCAGACTTCCCAGAGATGAATGTGGATGTTCTGAGTTATTCTCTCTTTGAGGACGAGCCAGTGGGAACAGTAGTAGCTGTTATTTCTGCGTCAAGCATCAGAGCTGAACCTGTCTCTTTTTATCTTGCTTCTGGAAACTTTGAAGAGATGTTCCATCTAGACCAATTAGGTGGAGCACTGACAGTTGAGAACCCACTGGATTATGAAAGCAAAAAGGAATTTTCTTTGTTGATAGAAGCCAGAGACTCTGGTTTGCCTCCATTTTCATCATTTTTAGAAATTCACATAAACATCAGTGATGTAAATGATAATTTTCCCCAGTTTACCCAGACTGAATATAGGTGTGAGGTTTATGAAAATTCCCCACCATCTGGAGTTTGCGATGTTCTTGCTCTCGATGCAGATTCTCCCAATTACAGCACAGTATGGTACAACATAACAGAAGGAAATTATGATGAATTTTTTACACTTGACCCTGAAAACGGTTTGGTAAGCACCATTGTAAGTTTAGATCGAGAAAGCATTCCATTTTTTAATTTAACAATTGAGGCTGCAGAACCTAACAACCCCCTTCATAAAGACCAAGCAACGGTAATCATTTCTGTTTTGGACAGGAATGATAATGCACCTCGATTCTCTCAGATACATCTTGCAGAGGTCTTTGAAAATGCTCCTATAGGGCACACAGTTGTGCAGATAACCTCAACCGATGATGACACTGATTCTAATGCAGTAATTCATTATTACATAGCTGACCAAAATCAGGATCTCCCTTTTGACATCGAATCCACCACTGGCTGCATCTTTGTTAGAAGGTCTCTGGACCAGGAGGCACAAGACCATTATGTCTTGAAAATAAATGCCAATGATTCAGCATGGAGTGTTAGCACTGACGTCAGTATCTTTGTTTTAGATTTCAATGATAACCAACCGGTATTTTCTAGTGATTTGTATTCAGTTGCTATCCCAGAAACAAAACATTCAGAGATTTTTGTTTTGCAAGTCTTTGCAACAGACACAGATATTGGACAAAACAGTGAGATTGTCTATATTGTCGAACCTCCAAATGAATTATTTTGGGTAAACGCTTCTTCTGGAGACGTTTTTTCAAAGCAGCCCCTCCTTTTACATAATTCTACTTTTGAAATCTATAACTTCACAATCGTTGCATTTGATTGTGGCAGCATTCCTCTACACAGTAACACAACTGTTACAGTGACATTACAACAATTGAACCTCCACGCTCCAAAGTTTTTGCCTTCTCTAGCAGAGATTGCTGTTCCCTATGACCTGTTGGTGGGAACTGAAGTGGCCATGTTTACTGCAACAGATCTAGATGTCAATAGCAGTGATTATATTGAGTATAGCATCAGTGGAGGTAATGCTTCTGACTTCTTCTGGATTAAAGCTGACAATGGAAAGTTATTTTTAAGTCAAACTTTAGAAGAAAGTGAAAATGAGTCACTTACTTTAGTACTTGTGGCCAAAGATCAGGGCTTTCCTCCTTTGACCTCTCAAACTGAGATCACCTTTGAAATTATTGGAAAAAATCACTATTCTCCAAGGTTCAGTGAACCAGAAGTCACGTTCTCTGTCCCTGAAGACCTGCCTGTTGGATCAGTGGCTGGGAAAATTCAAGCAGAAGATGGGGATTATGGTCCCAATGGTGTAATTAAATACCACATCAGTCCTGAAAATCAATATTTTCCGGTCTCCGTTGGAGAATTCTCTGGGCTGCTAACAATTACCAGAGAGCTTGACTTTGAAAAAATAACTAGATATAATCTGCAAATCATAGCAACAGATGGTGGATGGATATCTAAATCTGCCTGGTTGAATGTAACTCTGATTGTTACGGATGTAAATGACAATCCACCTGTTTTTTCATCGTCAGAGTATATTACAACAGTGCCTGAAAATTCAAAAGTCAGGACAAAGGTTCTAGATGTACAGGCCACCGATAAGGACTCAGGAATAAATGCACAAATATCTTACTCTTTTATTGCTGGCAGTTTGGATAAATTTGAAATCAATTCGAGAAATGGGAGTATCACCACTTTGGATGTCTTTGATTACGAGCAAGAGCAGATGTTTGATTTAACAATCAAAGCTTCAAACACTGCCAGGCACAACTTCTTTAGTGTAGCTCACGTTATCATCCACATCCTGGACCTTAATGAATTTAGCCCAACCTTCACAAAAGAAAGTTTTAACTTTTCAGTATACAAAAATATTCCTGTTGGAACATCAATAGGAAAAGTGACAGCCACTGATAACGACAGTGGTCCTGAAGGTGAGGTGTTTTATCTAACGTTTGGCCATGGCAAAAAGTTTGGCTTTGAAATTGGCCTACTTTCTGGAGAGATATATACAAGTCATAGTTTGAGGGATCAAGGAAACAGTAAAGTAATTTTGAAAATCTTGGCAAAAAACTCTGGTGTTATTCAAGGAACAGACATAGTTGAGACGTTGGTCAATATTAATGTGATTGAGACTAATGATGCACCCTTGTTCACCTCCACATGGTACGAGGCAGATGTTAAAGAAGACACACCAACTGGGACATCTGTGTTAACTGTAAGTGCTTTGGACCAGGACTCTGTATTGGATTGGAATCAATTCATCTTTAGGATTGTAGACGGAAACATAAACTCCTCTTTCTCCATCGATCCACTTAATGGCATTGTGTTAGTAAACTCTGATCTTGACAGGGAACGCTGGCCAGTTTACAATCTCACTGTAACAGCCACTGATCATGGTTCTCCCCCCGCCACTGGGACAACAAATGTCATTGTGAATATACTTGATATTAATGACAATGCCCCTCAACTTGTGACAAACAAGATTCAAGTGAAGGAAAATCAACCCGAAGGAGCCATAGTTGCCAGATTAAATGCATTTGATTTTGATTTACCTCCAAATCAAGGTCCTTTTACTTTTTGGCTGTCGAATTTGTCAACAGAAAGTGCTTTTTTTCTCACTCCAGATGGAGTTTTACTCACCAGACGTGTTGTTGATCGGGAGCATGTCTCTGAATATCGATTACTGGTGGTGGTAAAAGATGCAGGGTTTCCTCTATCACTGTCTTCAACAACAACACTCCACATTACGGTGGAAGATGAAAACGATAACCCACCATTACCACGAAACATCTTTATTGAGGTGAAATATTTTGGCAGTTCTTTTAATGGTGGCATGATTGGTAATGTGCATCCTGAGGATCATGATGAGTCTGATGCATTCCTGTGTTCCATTATAAGTGGCCCGATTAACATGTTCATGATACCCAATGGTACATGTGAGCTATGGTCATCTCCTTTTCAAGGCGAAGCCACATTCAATGTCACAGTCGAAGCTACAGATCAAGTTCATTTTCCTGTAAATAACAGTATCTATGTGAACTACAAAGGTTTTACAAATGCATCTGTGGATAGTTGTATATTTTTCTACGTGGCCTCACATTCAATGGAAATCTTCTTGACTAATAGGTATTTGCGGTTTGTGAAAGCCTTGGATAGTCTGTTTAACCTGCAGGCCTCAAAGACTCATGTTTTTGGAATCAAACATATTGGCATGGAGATACTACTACTTGCTGCAGTGAAAAACTACAATGGACAATATCTAAGCAGAGAGGTAGCGAGTAGTATATCTGTTGGACATAAGAAGTTACTGGAGTCCCAAAGCAATATGACAATTTCTCACATCACCAGTGATCCATGCCTCATGAGCCCCTGTCAGAATGGGGCCACATGCAACAAAAACATTTACATCAGCCAGGAGGTTGCTGTCCTGGAAAGCATGGCTGTCATCTTTGTGTCGCCACGGAAAGAGATTTTTAATTGTACCTGTTCGGTCGGGTTCAGTGGTTCACTCTGTGAAGATGACATTGATGAATGCGAGGCGAATCCTTGTCAGAACAACAGTACATGTGAAAACACCGCAGGAAGTTTCCGCTGTCACTGTCTGAGTGGCTTCTCTGGCTCAGTCTGCTCAGCTGATGTGGATGAGTGCCTGAAGGTGAAATGCCAAAATGGTGGGACATGCATTCAGTCACAGGAGGGATACCACTGCCAGTGTGCGCCTGGATTTGATGGTAGAACTGATCATTAAAACAAGCTTAAACATGTTTCATTATACTAACCTTAACCAGAATCCATGCAAAAAGTATGTTTACCTATTTTTGCAGGAGAAAGGTGTGAACAGCTCAAAGATCACTGCAGATCTACACCATGTTTTCAGGGAAGCTGCATTAACCTGCAAACAGGATTCCTCTGTATCTGTCCTTTTGGTAAGAACAAACATAAAGGCACATGATGTAAAATGAGGAGATTGCTAAAGAAACAGAAACAAATGTGAGCTAATAAATGCTCACAGTTTACTATTTAATAATAACAGCTATTGCTTTGTAACACGTTTTTATATCAAGGTTTTTGTTCTGTCATTTAATATTCTGTCAGTTGAAAGCTTTATTTCTTTCAGACAATCAATTCTTTGATCTATTTGTATAATGACCAGTGGATTCTTAGCCTTTACTTCATTATTAGAACAGAAGCACGTCTTATTTTTTGGCTTTGTTATTCATTGATCATCAAATAACATATCCATTCTTGATAACAATAAACATCACTAAATGTATGTACATTTGAAGATGTAAAAATAGATAATTTCAATGGGATTCTCATACATGTTATTTCCATAGAGTAATGGAAATAACATATGTATTAGTCGCTTTATGATACGATTAAGTTCCAAGATCACAGTCATTTGTATGACCAAAAATAATGCTTCTGCATTGTCGTATTACATATTTTACATACTGTTAAACACAATCTGATCACTACGTAATCTAGGTCTACAACGATACTTTAGGCATGCTAAGTGTAGTTTTTAGTATTATTGTACCTCAGCACCAAAATATCTGTTTTAAAAAACATTAAATAGCATAATCAAATTGCTAGTTATGCTGATTTTATGATCAAGTTTCTGCAAATTCTTTTTTTTTCAGGAGTCAGTGGTGTCCATTGTGAGGAAATCAGTTATGGCTTTGAAGAAATGTCCTTTGTGGAGTTTCCCCCACTGGATCGCAGGACTAATTTAATTTATTTTGAGTTTGCGACAGTGCAGAGGGACTCCCTACTCCTGTACAATTTAGGAATATTATCCAGGAGGGAATTTTTTGCACTGGAGATACTTGACAGCAGAGTACAGCTCTCTTATGACCTTGGCTCCGGACCTGTAAAGTTGCAGACCCATAAGCAAGTTGCAGATGGACATTTTCACAGCGTTACTGTCAGAAGAATTGGCAATGTGAGCTATAACTATTTACATAATTTAGATCAGTCATAAGTTGATTAAAATATTGATGCGGATCTGTATATTTTTAACAGTTGGGGACTTTGCTTGTGGACAACTGCACAGATGTTGTGAACAATGGATTTTGTTTTTCAGAGTTTGATGGCACTATTTCAGAAAGGTACTCATAAATGAACAGATGGCAATTTTTGTCATTTTCAGCCTTATCTGAACAACCTTAACCTGAGTAAATAATTTCTTTTCACTTTTGCATTTCTTAGGACTCTTGACGTTGGAAACACAAATATGACATTTGGTGGACTGAGAAGTCTGGAAGTAATATTGCAACATCCAAGTCATATAAAAACACATGACTTTGTTGGGTGCATTCGAAATATTCAGATTAATGGCATCTTGCTGAGACCTTCTTCTGGCCTTGCAACATATAATGTTTTCAACAGGTAGTGTTTCATGCATTAAAGATATGATAAACTAACCACTAAATTTCCAACTATAATGCTACATGTTTATCTTTTTTATTATTTTGTTGGAATGTGTTTGAATTATTCTCAAGCAACATGTTCATTTTTTTTTCTTTAACAAAGGTGTCCTCGAACAGCATTGTCAGGATGCAACAGCTCCCCATGCAAGAATGGGGGAGTGTGCCATGACCTTTGGTCTGAATATGTTTGTGAGTGCAAAAATCCCTTTAGAGGAAGAAACTGTGATACAGGTAAATAAATGCATAAGTAAATATAGAGAAGTGGATTGACAAGCCAACCGACAATATTTTCTTAAAAACTAGTACAGAAGTTTTAAGCTATGAAACGCTATTTAATAATGTCCATGAATTAATCGCTTCCATTTTCTGTCAAAAATCATTCTGTAAGGATGAACCCTACCTTTTCTAACTATTTTCTGTTACTCAAAAAAAAAAATCACAAGATTTCTATGAAATTCTTTAAATTATTATTTATTTAGAATAAACACTGAAACTAGCATTTTCATTAAATGAATTTGAGTACTGTACTATCAATCACAGGTAATAATCCTCAACAATTCATATTATGATTCATCACACAATAGCAAATCCTCCTCAGAGCGACTCCCGGGGATTGTTCCAAGACATTCTGCTGTGGATTTGGAGCCATAGCAGATTGTAAAACTCTATGACTGGAAAAGCGCTGAAGTAATTCAGTCTATTTGCCATTTAAGATGCAGGGTTGGTCTGGGTGAGAGCAACTGGGTCAGGCAGGCTATCAATTCAGGCAGAGATATTGGTGGTTTGTTATGAGTCTGAGTTTCAGTGGGACCAAACTGGAAATATAAAACAAAAAAAAAGAGAGCTTATTAGATTTAGCTGACAGATTCACCATGGTCTAATGACTGTTAGCTGACAAACAATCTTCCAACTTTATTTGAACAGGGACTAGTTCAGCCCTCCATCTACAGTTAGATTACCTTTGTTTGAGGTAATGTGGAGTTACTGCCTGTTAGATTTTTCTTTGCGCAATGTTGGGACTGAATGCTTGTTTTCTTACGTTTCTGAAACAGAAATATCTGAAGAACTTGTATTGCACTTCAAGGGGACTGATTACATTGAGTATGTCATTAAGGAGAGATTTAAAAGAGATCTTCTGCTTCAAGAACTGAAGGATGGTGCAAAACAGGAAAACACAAAAGTCCAAACTCTCATTACTGTCAAGTTCAAAACAAAAGAAGATGGAACCCTGCTCTTTGTTCTAGGAAAAGGACATATTGTGTTGATGGTTTGTAAAAAGTTTATTTAATAGTTTTTAATATGTCTGAGTATATTAAAAACTATGGTAATCTTTTTACATTCATTTTCAGGTAAGAGACGGACAACCTGTGTACTCTTCTACTGATCTGTTAGGACATATGTCAGAGTTTACAGTGGAGCTGTTAGTTGCTGATGGTCTTTGGCACATCCTGTCCTTATTGACCAATGAGCGTAACAATTCACTGTATGTTGATGACAAAATGGTCTTGAACATTACCCAACAAAACATGGACTTAAGACTTTTTAGTTTGGAAAAGATTATTCTTGGGGCTGCCCCACCAAGACAAAGAACGTTCCAACAGTCAGGTAATACTATGACTTATTAGGTCTTTTTTTTTTTGGTTTGTTTGTTTGTTTGTTGCAGTGATTTCTTTATTATATAAACCTTGCCAGTACCAAGTTGGATTCCTTTTTATTCCTGACTAGTCTTAAGCCTTAGTTTCACAAATTCAAGTAGGTATCAGAAAAATCCTCCAGAGATTTTGATCAATATTAACATGGTAGCTCACAGAGTTTCTACAGATTTGTCAGTTGAAGATCCAATATTTTCCATGTTTTTGAGGCCAGTTTTAATGCATCAAAATGCACTCAAATTTCTTTCAAGTTATATTTGAGATATACAACTAAAGGTAAGAAAGTCAATGTAAAGCCAAATATAAACGCTATTTTTTTGTCATTTTACACTGACAGCCATGTTATTTTGAAAATCAGCTAAATCCTTCTATTTTGCTGCTTATCTTTGCAAAAGATTTTGAGTTGTTTCTTGTATTAAACAGTTGAGCAGCTACACTTAATGAAGTTCCCAGTATTGTATCAAAAGAGGCTTTTCTAGAGTGAATGTGACGTCTCTGAACTTTCTTGTGGTCACAGGATTTAGCGGATGTGTGGAGTATCTGAACGTGAGTGGTCATACTCTGCCTGTCAGTGGACACAGTTTAATGGTGGAGGTATGGCCGAGCTCGACTCTCCCACAGTCCAGCTGCAGCTCTTCAGGTGTCTGCCTCTTCTCACCATGCAGTGAAGACACCGCCTATTTGAGAACATGTCTTTCAGACTGCCAGAACCGGAGGCCGTGCAGACCTGCAATACAGGACAGGCCATGCATGTGTCTGCAGAATGTCTCCAATCATTTTTGTGACATCTGCATTTCCACTGTCAACGACGAGTGCTCAGAGAAACAGTACAACAGGCCTTTTTGGATCATAGCGGTGGTTCTCCCTCTGATCTCCATCCTGGTGATTGTATGTATGTTTGTAGTTCTGTACAGACTGAAACAGCAGGATTCAGTTGTTAAAAATGAGAACCTTACACATGAAACTGAGCAAGAAACTGAAAACACAACAATTTGTTTCAATGGCAATCAGGTGTCTAAAGCTGAACTTTCAACCTCAAAAGGGAAACGTTTTGATCGAATAAGTCCATGTCAGTCAAATGAGAAGCTTAATAGTTATGGGCAGCTGATGCTTCCAAGTGAGCTGGAGTATTACAAGATCGGCAGCATCTGTAGTGCATTTAATTCTGACAACAACTCACCAAGACTCAGCTGGCACAAACATTTTTGTAGTACAAAACGTCTTAAAAATGATTCAAACCAGTGGGGGGATCTGAGGAGGTTGCTAGGTAATTTAAAGAATGACAATCCTGGTGAACAGAAATGCCCTCCAAAGCATCAAAATATTTCCTCATTTCACAAACAGTCATTGTGTCAGCCTGATGCAGAGCAGCAGAGGCAGAATATGTCCTGTTGTACAAAAGAATTCCCACAGCCAGAGCTCCTGGAGCCAACACAGCCACTTAGTTTTGAAGAAATTAGCAAACTGAACAATCCTCTTGAGCCAGTTTTTTCACATCAAGCGCTTTTAAAGCCTGGGCCCCTAGAGTCCACTATGACAACAGAGACCTCATCTGACTGTGAAACAGACAGCACGTTTACTTGCTCTGAGTCTGACAATGACCACTTTAACATCATTACTGGCAAAAAATGTAGGGATGAGCAGCCATGCCCATCAGAGTGCAGAATAAGCCAGGATGTCTTTAAACTAACGTCCGTCTCCACTTTAAGTCAGGATATTTCCAAGACGGATTCCTTTACTATGTTCGAACAATGGGAAAAAAATGTAAATGTGCCCCTGACTTTCGGAAGCTACGCTGCAGTGTTTGAGGACATTGCAGCCATGCCCATAGACTTCAGTCTTTGCAGTGATATACTAAGTGATGAGGAAGAAATTATTTGAAAGGTCAGAGCAGATGAAGTAGTTGATATCTGATTCACTACTTGCAGAAAATAATTTTCTACTGTATTTAACTCTCTAGGACAAAGTTGTCTTTCTGGACAATCACAAATAAGTTTTTTCTTTTTGTAATCTGCATCTTCCAAGCTTCTGTTTAGCTGAGTTCTGTCTTGAGATGCATACTGTTGTTTTGTGAAGTGTTGTTACACAGGTCTAGTGTCAGAAAATTAAGCTGATTTTGTGAAATATAAACTCCTTCCACCTCTTTCATCTTTTGCTGTTATTGCATTCCCATTCTGAACAATGCATTAAGATATGTAATCCAGTGTTCAGCTATATCAAAATGGGTTATATAATTCTTTCTTGCTTTATACATGCAGTCTGAATGTATTTTTTCCTATATTTAGGGATCATCTGTCTGTGACAGAAAACTTGACACTCGATTAGTGCCCCCCTACCAAATTATTCAAGATCACATTCAGATTTTAGGTTTTCTGCATTCCAAGGGGAATGAGTCTTTATCAGCTCAGACAAGTTGTTTGGACTGTGCTGCATGATATTCAGTGATGTTCTTGTGTAATTATTGTGACACTTGAGTAGCAACTGTATAGAGATTTGTGTGTGGTATACACAATGAGGTGATGCTGCTCAATACAATAAAGCTTTTCTGATAAAACTGAAATGAAATCATTTTTAGAAATATGTGATTCCTGTACATGTTGGCTTTCATTGTATTAAAATTTGAATGTCCACGACAAACTAATTTGTGTATATCAATATTCAAATGGAGTAGAAACCATGTACATTTTGTAGTTCATCAAAATGAAGCACTTATAACTGAGAACATTTATTCTCTACACCAATAAACACATACGTTCCATAAATGTTCTTTGTGAGAACGAAAGTCATAAGAAATCATACTTGCACAGCAGAAGAGTATAAATGCTTTGAAAATATACAAATGTCAAATTGTTTAATTTTATTCTAATACAATGTTTCAGCTGTTATTCCATAAATCCTAAAAGAAGCACATTTACTAAAATCTGTAATTTTGTTGGGTCAATAAAGCACAGAGGTGGGATAAACCCTATACAGACTGTAGGTCTTTCACAAGGCTCCAATTTAATGTAAAAAGGTTTGAGCATTACATATATTGTGAATCTGGACTTTTTGAAAAGCATATTGCGAGTTTAACTCCATCTAGTGGTTACATCAAGGAGAGCTTCAATTAAACCTTGTGAGACAATGTGACAGAACTCATTCCTGCAGAAAAGAAATATATATGTATAATATATAAATGCATTTGGAATAAATAATATTCCAAACTTATAAAGAAAAAACAATATTTTAAGTCTTTACAGTCAGAACAATGGAGCAGACAGTGTTCTCATTTCCATCAAATCCGATTCATCTGACATACAACTAGGCCAAATTACATCAAAACCTTATGAAATGCACTGCTTACATAATTAACCGCAAAAGCATGTTTTAAAAGAACATAGAGAATTAATGATAGCACGATGTGGTAGTTTCAGTGAAAAAAAACAACATCTGTCTTTTAAACACCTAAAGCATATTCATCTTCAATCTTTAAATGTTAAACATCTTTTATATTTGCAAATGGTTACTTTGTTCCTTTTTAAAAATAATTTAGCTCAACACAGAATACATGTGCTACCTGCCAAACTATATAAGCAAACAAACAACAAACAAAAAAAAACTTTCATGAACTAAAACCAACATTCAGGTTTGTGTAACAAATCTATGTGTGTTTACTCGTCACAAACTTGGTCTTATTTTGAAATGCAATGTTTACTTTTCTATTATTGAATCTCTGCGTCAAAGCATTTTTGATTTCTATAGTTTTCAAGCAGTATATCACAGGGTTGACGGCTGCAGGTATGAGGCTGTACAACATTACTATCAGAATACGTGCATCAAGGCTAAATTTGATTCCCAAACTGTCTGTAAGATACACAATACACCTTGGCACGTAATATAGACATGTAATGAAGAGTTGAGGGGCACATGTGGACAGGAATTTGTAATCCCTTCCAGAGGCAGTCATTTTCACAACAGTCATGATGATAAAAACATAAGAAATAACGATAAATGTTAAAGGAACTAAGAGAGTGACCATAGCATTTGCAAATGCAACCCATCTTACATATGCAACATCATCCCCACATGCCAGTTTTGTGATGGAAGTATGATCACAGTAGCACTGCATGATGGTATTATGGTCACAGTAGGGCAATGTCAAGGTAAGTAGCACAAGTCCCATTATTCGTATAAAAGTCAGCAACCAACACAAACTGCAACAAATAGAAATGTTTTTGTTTGTAAATAAAACTGGATATTTGAATGGAAAACATACAGCAACAAAGCGATCCAAAGCCATCATCAGCAAAATTAAAGAGTGAGTAGCTCCCAGAGAGTGAACAAAATACATCTGTGCAAAGCAAACTCCAAATGAACACATCATATCATTCCACCAATATCTGGCGATGATCTTTGGGAGTGTTACAATGCCAAAGAACAGATCTGTCATTGCAAGGTTTAAAAAAATCATGTATGTTGGCTTGTGAAGAGTCCGCTCACATATGATGACAGCTGCAATAACAACATTTCCAAACAAAATAGCAATAAAAACAAGTAAGAGAACAAATGATACTATGCCATAGTACTCTGGTGGAAGTCCAGGGAAGCCAATGATCATAAACTCTTTCACATTTGTAACATTTCTGTATTTGATCATTTGTACAAAAAAGAGAACAAATGTTAAACAGAATTAATATGAAAGAGACCTTCAGTTGGAATAAAATAGTCACAATAAAAACCACTTCAGTTCAGCAGTGAGCTTGCAATCACAAAATAAATTGTTCAAAATATTTCTATGATATTCTACAAGTGAACTAATTCCTCTGCATGTTATTTGTAGTCATCATCTTTGTGCCTTGAACAGAACCTTGTCTCCTTCAGGTGATGTAATCCTGCAGCTGCACCTGCTGATCCTGTCTCTCTATTTAAGGCTTTTCAACACACTTTTCTGATGACGTCCAACGAGAAGAAAACTCTGAAGAGCAATATCCCCAAGGAGTCAAGGGGTATTATGGCATTTTCATGCTTACCTCATTTAAAAAACTATTTTGAATGGAATTGGTTTACTTTCAATTAGCTCACTCTTTTTATTTAAATGTTTCTCATTTGTCTGATAAACTATTCTAATCTTAAATATTGCACTTTCATTAGCTGCAAGTCACCATACTAAACAAAAAAGGCTTGAAAACATTGGTTTGTGTTTATTTAATCTATACAAATATTTTTCATTTAGTGAATTGAGTTAATGAGATAAATAGACTTTTCATGTATGCAAAAAAAAAAAAAAGAAAAGAAAATCTCAACTCTCAGCTGAGCACTGAATTGGTTTCCTGTTTTTCATGTGAAGTTACTGGAAAGTCGTTACCACTTTTCATTGACCAGGCACCCTGTTTATCCTGATAAAGGGAGGAAATCTCTTAACTTTGATCAACTTTTTTCCCCAAAGCACATCTGAGAGAAGTTCCTGGATTTTACCAGGTTGTTTTTTTCTGAGTTATCAGGAGGCTTAGCAGTAAAGTTGGTGTCAATCATTCAAAATCAGGAGCTCCAGTGTTCTGGTGTTCACTCACAATTAAGACGGCTTTTTTTTCTCGGACCACAACGAACAGCTTTAATCCTGAAACAAATTACACATGTAATTTACAACTGACATGTTTTATCTTCACAGAAAACTGATGATTCTACAAAGCCAGTCCTCATTTTTCATTCAAAGTCTCACAAAATTAACATTTTCCAATTTTGTACCATATATTAAAAAATCTGACCGTATTAAAAAAAGGCTCCATTAATTTGACCTTATTGTTGCTTTGAGAAATTCATAATATATATTTTACCACCTGAATATATTTTTGACCACTAGTAGATTTATTGTTCATACATCTTAAACAAAGTTATAAATAGAAACAGAAATGATAAATTCACTTTACAATTTGCATTTGAAATGATCTACACATGGTTTATTTTAAGGTTGATACATTTATTTTATGAATTATGTTGACAACAGACTAAAAGATATCGAGTAAGAACAAAAATCAAGAGTGACATTTTCATTAAAGCAAATATTTTCGACAAAATAAAAGGCACTAACTTCAGCTTCACTGAAGTAAGTAGAGCTATTTCAGTCTCTCAGCTACATCTGAAAAAAGACTTTCTTCGTCTTCTTGTATTAAAATTTAATCAGCTTTTGTGGCTATATTAGTTCATTTGGTAAGAAGCTTACGTTTTAAGCTTTCTTTGATGTCCTTTGTTTTGAGGCAGTATATTATTGGGTTGACAACAGCAGGTAAAAGACTATACAGCATTACAACAAGAATTCGAACTGAAGCGCTGAACGTGTATCCTACAAAGTTAGCCAAATAAACAAAGCACCTTGGCAGATAATAAAGGCAGGTGATAATTAGCTGAGGCATGCAAGTCGACCAAGCCTTAACGCGTCCTTTAGAGGACGATGTTTTCAAAACACAAACGATGATGATAAAATACGACAGAACAATAAATCCCAGAGGTAACAACAAACTGAACATGGCAAGACTAATTCCCAGAACTGTTGATCTTCGTACATTCTCACATCCGAGGTTAATTATTGATATCTGGTCACAGTAACAGTGAACAATTATATTTGAATTACAAAAAGGTAGACTCATAGCATCAAAAACGACACCAAACATCCACGAAATCGGCATAAACCACGAGACGCCACAAAGCGCAGAAACAGTTGTATTTGTGAAAAGTGAATTGTAGCGCAGTGGAGAACAAATTGCAATGAAGCGATCCAGCGCCATCACCATCAGAATGAAAGAATGAGTTGCTCCTAAAAAGTGAACAAAGTACATTTGGGCAAAACAACTATAAAATGATACAATTCTGTCATTAAACCAGTACAAAGATATTGTCTTTGGTAGCGTTACTGTTCCAAACATTATGTCACTTAATGCCAAGTGACAAAAGATAACATATGAGGGTTTGTGAAGAGACCTTTCATATCTAACAAAAACTAAAACAAAAATGTTTCCAGCTGCAATAGCCAAATAAAGCAGGAAAAGTGTAGCTGAAACGGGGCCATAATACTTTGGCATGAGACCTGGAAATCCAGTGATAAAAAAGTTTTTTATCGTTGTGACATTAGTGTACAACATAATCCTTGTGATTACAACAGCAGAAACAGTGACTAAATATCAAACACAAATGTCAAAGCAGAAAAGTACAAGTTTTGGAAAACAGTAGATGAACTCACAAAACGTGAAACTGTTAACATACTTCCTGCTATTGCATATAGAAAACAAAAAAAACATTAGACAGAAAAAATCATGTAACGTTTTCCATGTAAATCCACTACATCTTCAACGCCTCCTTGCACTTTTATCTCAAACATGTTCAGCATTTCATTTGTTACTACTCCATAAGTAGGCATAATAGATCCCAAATGGACAATGATCTCTAATGGTTTCCAGTTTGACAAACAAACATGATTGTCATTAGTACAATGCATGTTGTTGCATTTCTGCTTGAAGTTTTGTTGTGTTACTTTGTATTAAACATTATAGCACTTTTTAGATAATATT